TTTGCTTGAGCTATGTTCTTGGCTATGGATGAAGTAGTTTGAAGAGGTTTTCTTCCTCTCTTGGTGAGCCTTGGACGAAATGTATGGGGTGGGGGTGATTGAGAATGCCTTTTTGGCATTTCTTACAATAATGTGATGAATAGGTCCCACTCCATCTAATTGATTTGTTCCCCAAATCAATTCTTCCTTGTTTCCCATGAACATATGAGGCTCTTCGTGATCTTTGCAAGGCTAAAGACTTGGGTTGGCCCCCACACATATGCGAGGTCACCCCTTTGAGTCCAGAAGTGTACAATCGGCCCCGAAAGTTGTATTTCTCGGACTGTTTCAATTATATTTTATTTTATCGGGTCAAATAAAATATAACACATGTTCCTAATCATTATAGGCCTTTAGCACGGATGTACATTCCCCAACTTAAATTTATAAGTCTACGAAATTCATTTTGGGCTGTTATCCGATAAATTACCAAAATCGATAATTGGCCCGTTTGACCAACCGGTCAACCCCATGCCTTTGTTATGGCCCAACTAGGATACCCACTATCATATTCATATTATATAGACTAAGATGAACATAATAAGTGGTCTCGGAAATATATGGGGGTCCCCGTCCCTGATGTGGGTCCCACGTGCAATTTACCATTCACGCAAAAGAAATAACAAAAATTTACAACTTCGCAAATTCATAAGTCATTCTTCAAAGTTTATTACATGATTTTCTAAAAATAATTGTGTTTGGGGACAATGTTACAATACTAGATCAATTTTTCAGACGAGGATGGGCTCGTTTACTCTTCGCCAAATGATACAGCTGAAATACCCCCTTTTGTGGATGCCTTGGAGTAACCTCACACCCGAGTCACTCCGACTATTTATTTGATGATCTCTTTCCATTGTTCTATCTCCTTCACTCATTTGGGAGATGTATAGTCGTGTGGTACAAACGTGTACAATTCTGTGCATTAGAGCTCGCCACTTTTGCACTCCTTATCAGAGAGACCATTCTTTCTTGACCACACAAGACTATTGTTTGGACCGCATAATTGTTGCTTTGAGGGCCTCTCACCGTGTTTGGTTGATTGATTATGATCGCCGTTGGTGGATGTTGTTATGATTTGAGTGAGCCGAGCATTGAGAGAGGGTGATGAGTAAGTATGTTGTTCTAATCCTCATCCCAAAATGTAATCAAAATGTAATTTTATTGACTGAATAGGTTGTAACGTATGAGTCAAATATCAGTTACACTAATTCCATGGTACGTTGTACTACAATGTGTACTATAAATAAACAATATAGGTTTTCTAAAAATATTACGGAATAAAACTACTTATAGATAAAAAGTGACTACATTTACTATTATAAATATATTTCAATGGTCATTATGGTAAATAAATTGAACATATTTTTAGTCACTAAAAGTTATAGGTCATGTTTTCATCTATTTTGATTATAATCATTTACGGAGTATTAGGAATTATTTTACGTAGTATATTATACGTAGTATTTGTATAATATATTGATTTTATATTAAAGCTAATTGTTTCGGGTTTTTATCGGTTCAGGCTGGGTTATAGATTTTAGGGCCCGCTTATGAGCCCGAATTTTCAGATTCGGTCCGGTTTCTTTATTCGGGCCGGTTAAATAAAAAAAACCGGACCGGGAATATCATTCAGGCCGGGCTACGGTGGGTTTCCGGGTTTCGGCTTGGTTTTTCCCACCCCAAGGGGAAGGGGAGGAAAATTGAAAGTTTCCAAAAGCCTCAACTTCCTTCCATTCTCAATCCCCCAAATCGGGGTTTTTCGAAGGAAACATGTTGATAATGACAAACTATTCATCATGTTTCTCCTACGTGAATGGACAAAAATGTTATAATATAAAAAATTTAATAATTAAAAATGAGTTCATGATTTGTATATTTAGCATCCCACTAATGGATCAAGTGTTTTACGTGATTTCATGATTCAAATTATATTAATTTTTTTAGTTATTTTAAAAACTACGAATAAACATGATTTTTTAGGTTCATATTATTCAAATTAAATTAAAATGGTTCTTTTAAGTTATTTTATTTTTCATGTAATTGTATTTATATATTTTAAAAATTTCCAAAAAATGACTAATTTATATACTAAGGGGGTGTATTGTATTAAGAATTAGTGGCAAAATTTTAAAAGTTCATGGATTTTAAAAGTTTAGGTGTATTCAAGGTGGACTTTTAAAAGTTTACAAAAGTCTAAGTGTATTCAATGTAACTTTTTAAAAGTCTATAAAAGTTTAGGCGTATTCAAAATTCCGTTCATTCTTATTGACTTCTAAAATCATGGATTCTCGTAGACTTTTAACCCATTTTTAGTACATTAATTCTCTGCAATTGTCTCTTCTCCTCACTAAAGATTTCCGTGGACTTTTCTTATTTTGGTTCTTCATCCCTTCCCACCCCATCCCTCCCCCCAACTCTCTTCTTCTTCTTTAGCCAAGCCACCCCTTCCTCTTCGATTTTTCTTCTTCTTCTTCTGCCCAGCTCGTCCCACCCCTCTCCTTCCGTTCTTCTTCTTCTTCCTCCTCCTCTTCTTCCTCCTCTTCTTCCTCCTCTTTTACAAGATAGAAATAAAAACAAAACAAGTATTAAGAAGAAAAGCTTGATTGCATCTATGAGTGCACCACATGTAGCAATGGGTGTAACGATTAATGTTCTTACATACTCATTAATAAAATTACCAAAATCCTTGAGCATTATTGAAACTTTGAGTTTTGTGTTTAATACAAATAGATTTGAATTCTTATGTTTCATTTATTCTTGTAGAACAATGTGTTGCTATATGAATTTCATTTATTTATTTATTTGTTTGTTTGTTTGTTTCTTATAATACCTCGTATTTTACAGAGAAAATTACTCACGGTAGGACTAAAACATACGGAGTGTGTTTGATTTTGCTTAAGTATGACTAATTATTACATATTCACCCCTAATTTAATTAATTAACTGATATAATTAATTATCCCTAGTTCCCTTGCATAACCAAATCCATTTTGTTGGTGGCGGAACAGTCTGATTATGACAACAGGGAACTCCGGTGACGGAGGCGGACAAGCAGATCGGTAGAAGCGATCTAGGTGAAAATTCTGATGACCAGCAGTGACAATTCACATTTAAAAGTCTATGAACTTCTTGAAAGTCAATAAACTTATCCATGGATTTAAAAGTTCATAGAATTCATTCATAAAAAAGTCTATGAATTTAAAAGTCCATCGACTTTTTTAAAAGTCCGTGGATTAAAAAAAGTTCATCACAATCCATATTTAATACGCCTCTCTAATGCTAAAACTTTAACGGTGCATATGTGGCACGAGAAATAACCAATTAAAAAACAATAAATAGAATATTTCTCTCCTTATTTGAAGGATCTTATATTATTTTGGTAAGTTTTTCTTCACAATGTCAAACACAATGTCTAGATGTAGATATTGGAGTGGACATTGCAGACAAAAACTTACCAAAAACACATAAGATTGTGGAAAGAATGAGAGAAAAATGTCATAAAATCAATATTTTGTGTCTATCTCTCTCATGCCACATGTCCACCGTGCATATTGTAGCATTGGAGATGCTCTAAGTAAATTTAGGTAGTATTACTTTTATACTCCGTATGAAATACTAGTAAGATATCACAAATTATATCCTACATCCGGGTGTACGTGTACACCCGGTTATTTTGTAATTATTAGAAACTTTAAACCTTTGCTCTCTCCCTCTTCCTTCTCGCTGGATCTTCGTTCCATCCTCCTTGCTCTTCTGCCGTTTTCCTCTTTTATCTTTTCGTATGGATCTTTCTTCCACTCTTTTCTTTTCTTTTCAGCCGCTTACTCGTTTTGCACCAGCCAGTTCGTTCGCCCACCTGTACTGGCCACCACCAGTGAGTTCCGGAACCGGCCAGTCTTCCGGCCGTCAACCCGCCCCCCACTTCCGCTTTCAGCAGTAATCCCACCGGAAAAGATCACCCAAACGAGCACCAGTCATCTTCTCCGAGAAGTTCGTTGTGTTTCCTCCATCTCTGGTGTTGCAGAGATTCTATAGGGCAACATTAATGCTCTGTATAGACTACATTCCGTTGAGATTGACCTGACAAATCAATCCAACCCTTGCCACATCGCTCTCACGTGCCAAATGAGCATAATGTTTAAACGAAATGAGTATAGACAGATAAGGATTTGAGCACATTAGCAATTTCAAATTACATTTTGGATTTTTCGATACTTCTTTTGTAAATGGTTCCTGATACTCAACTGAATAAGTGTGATGCTCATTGAAAGTGTTTTAATACTCATAATAAGTTTGATGCACATTAAAAGTTCATTGATGCTCATTTAACAGAAACTGTGATTTTTATCTCAACAGGGAAGATTTGATGCTCAATGAAAATGTCGTTATGTCAAACTAACAAACTTTACGATTTTCATATCAATTAACATTTTGTAAGTTACGTATGCTCATTTCGTATTGATGTTATGCTCATTTTAAAATGTCATATCAATGCATATTTCAAAAGTATCATATTACACTAAATTCACATATTGAAATTCATAAGAGTGTATTATAGATATAATTTAATAAGTTTTTATAAAAGAAAAAATAAGAAAAAGAACAAAAATTAGAAGATATGAAGTTGAGATCATGTTACTCATTGTTAGCCTCTTAATACTCAATAAAATAGATTGGATGCTCACTAAATGTACAATATTGCTCATTTAGCGGAAGCCGTGAATTTTCACTTAAATTACAAATATGACACCGATTTTTTTTTGACCTGTATTAGTGGTTGACCCGTCTTTCTTACTTGGACCGGGTGTACGTACACGCGGATGCACTATATAGGAACTGAGTAAGATATAACTAAAAATAAGTTAAAACCCTAATGTCCTTATATGTTTTTTTTACACATTTTCAAACATTTTCAAAAATAAGTAAATAGTTATTATTGAACCGCTAATTTAGCAAACATTTTCAAACATTAGCCTAACATAATCAGCGAATTAAAACCGCTGACGCAATCGGCTATTAGCTGTTCTTGCGTGTTTTCATCGCTGCAATACTTTTGCGCTTATTGCGTCTCACGCAGGTGGCTGCGCCTGGGAGCCTGATAGGAGTTTACCATCATATGCGGCTCCCTGGGTGTGCTTAAGCGTCCTGGCGCTCACTATTGACCACGCTGGATGAGAGTATGTCGTGGAGAGGGCAGAGTGGGGGGATAGTATATGTGGTGGATTGATCTGATTATGTTTCTCTCCAATTTTCTCTATTTATTGTTTTTTACTCAGATATCATATGTAGATTCGTGTTAGTCGACGTCAAACGCTTTTGGGAATAAGTCATAGATGTGGTTGATGTTGTTAGAGTGTTTATGATTGTTGGGATTTGTTGCTACTTCATTACTAGAATTAATATATTCAAGTCTCACATCCGGTGAATTTATCTGTTATGTTTCTTGGTTCAAACATTAGTGAATCTTAATATACGGTTTTATTCAATTATGTTTTAAGCAGATTCGGGTTTCAACACATTACTAAGTTGAAAAAACAGCTGAAGTAGCTCTAATAGGTCAGAAGATGGATGCAAAGGATATTTTAGGATTGCCAAAGAATACAGTGTCCATACCCTCAGAAAAGAAGTCCAGACCTCAGAAAGAGTCTCAACGCAAACCTGATGGCATTTCTCGAGAAGTAATTAGTTTCCTTCTCTTTTCCTGTAGCTAAGCACATGCATAGTTTTTGTTATCTTTTGTATTTGATTTTCTTAAAGTTGTTGGTTTGGGCTTTGCAATATTCCAGGTTTACGCCCTTACAGGAGGTCTAGCGCCTCTTATGCCTGCTATTGACATAAACCATTTGAAACGACGAACACAGACAGAGAATGAAAAGGTTATGGTGATCTGAATCTTTTTTATGTGATTTTCTTGAGAAATCATAAAAGTGTGAGATACTGACCTTCTGTCTTTATTCAGATTACTTGGCAATGGCTACCTTTTACTAATTCTGCCCGAAATGACAACTTGGAACTGTACCACTGGGTATGTCCAGCTCATCATTGTAAAAGTCTAGGTTCAGACTAGCAAAATCCGTGTACCTAAAAGCTCTTTTCTACCTCTTTTGTTTTAAGGTGAGGGTTGTAAATGGTGTTTTGCCTAAAGATGACTATTCATTTGCCAAGTATAACAAGGTATGGGGAAGAATCTTTATAATGCCTCATGGAGTTGTATTGAAGTCCTTATTCACGAGCATTTATTTATGCAAAAAATCATGAACCTATTCTGTTGTTTTCCATGATTCAATGCAGTCTGTGGATGTTATTCAATACACAGGAGAGGAGTATGAGAAGTATTTGACAGATCCTGTATGTATTTCAATTCCTAACTCCCAAGTATATTAAATACGTAGTATTAAATATAGTACTACAATATTGGTAGATGATACAGTGTCTCTCCCCTTAAAGTGAAAGTGATGCTTGGCAGACATAAAAAAAACACAATAGGGATACATTACTGTGTGGCATATGCTCATTGGGTGATGATAACATGTCTAACTTTTCATCCTAATGAATGTGTGCCTCATAGGAATTTCTCCCTACAATATCCAACTCTAATGCCTACCTAGCATTACTCTAAATGAATGGCATCCACACTAGAAATTGAAAAGTCATGAAACTTTGTGAGGTAGCAATGCAGTATTAATATGATATACTACGTATTTTCTCTTTGCTGCATTCACCGTATCATATGTAACTTAACAGCCCAAAGTGTTCTGGTTCTTTAACTTACATATTTCTATTATCAGATGTGGACAAAGGAAGAGACAGACCAATTGTTTGAGCTGTGTAAAAGGTTTGATCTACGCTTTGTTGTGATAGCCGATAGGTTCTCATCATCACGTACAGTGGAAGAGCTTAAGGATCGTTATTATACTGGTAAAGTGTTCATTTTCTTCTACTTCCGATGAATCTTCTTAATGGCTGTTTACTGCTTATATATATGATCTTTAATGTGCTTGCAGTGTCTAGTTTTTTATTGTTATTTTTAAGTTGTACAAATTATGATTTCCCTGGATTCATTGTGCTCAGTATCAAGGGTTGTTTTGAACTCAAGGTCTGCGTCTTCTGTTGATGTTGTTGGGCATCCCATTCTTAAGGTTAGTTGACAGTATCCCATCTTACTGTGTGTTTGCATTATAAGGATACATATGTGCGCACACACACATGTGTATGCATGTTTACATTTATTTATGTTTCAATCTGATGTCTAGCTTACTCTGTTTTTTTAACTGTGCTATGAGAATTCTCACAATGCTGCAGGAACCTGAGCCTTACAATATGACTCAAGAGATCGAAAGGAAACGTGCATTGTCTATGGTGCTTTCCCATACAAAGCATCAAGAACGCAGGGATGCAGAGGTTTTTCTAGTTTCATTTTTATCTTATGTTTGAGCCAAGACAAACTGAAGATTACATTGATGTAGCTCTCAATAAACTTGTACGTCTCATTTCAACCATCTTTCTATTCTATCTGTTTATTTCATCTAAAATATTCAAGGTCCTTGCCGAAGCAAAGAAAATAATGGAATCTCGTAAGGCTTCCAAGGTAATTTCTATCATTATGCCCTTGATATCTTGAAAAAAGACGGTATTTTTTATACTCAGTTTCCCACTTAACGACTTTTGTATCATCCGATCTTTAGGTTGCTGAAGAGTCAGAGTTACCCCTCATGTCAGATTTTGGACCAGAAGGTCCGGATATGGCCGCTACTGTTAATCCTGCTTCAACTTCACCCAATGCTCAGTTCCCTTTGGGCACAAGTGCTACTCCCATATCAGAAACTGCTTCAACTTTAACTTCTCTTCGCATGGTGTGCTCAAGTAAAAGAACACAATAATAAATTACTACCTCCATGGCTCCATCCCGAATAAATTGTCTTGTTTGGCACACTTATTAGTGAAGTGGTTGACAAAGTAAAAGATGTGGTTGAGATTTGATTGGTAAAGATTGAAATGATATGAACCACATATATCTTGTCAAGAAAGAAAACAAGACGATAATTTGGGACAACCCAAAAAGGAAATCATGACATATTTTGGGATGGAGGGAGTAATAAAAATACTATCATATTGGTTGAATGGTGTATAATTGTGTATTGTATTGATCATGATGGTTAAATTATATCAGTTGGGGGTGTACTTGCGTACCTATGCGCTTGAGCAAATGGTGCAAGCAGCAAGCTCGTCAGCGGGACTTCGGACTATAAAGCGTGTTGAGCAAACTTTACAAGACCTAGGGGTTTGTGCACCCTCATTTCTTTTTGTTGATACATTTTTGTTTGTATTCTCCTCCTCCACTGTATTAGTTTGAGCTATTTTAGCTATTCCTTAGTGTTGTTCTGACCCCTGACCCCTCTTCCTCCAACGACATAGTATATGATTTTAGTGGAACTGTAGCAGGAGTTTGGAGGTTGAATTCATTTCCTCCATGAGTTGACTTTTGCATAAATGTTGATTATTTCTTGTAAAAATGAAACATAATTCCTCACTCCCGAGCGCATTTTTATAGCTTTTTAGTCAAAGAGTTGAAAGAGTTGAGTTTAATAGATTGGATTTACAGGTGAATTTGAAGCCTAAAGTTCCAACTAAACTAGTATGTGCGGAGCATCTTGAACTTAGAAAAGAAATATTGACCCTATTGAATCTTCAAAAACAGGTATGCAGGGGTAGTGGCTAGTGTCATCTCTTATGTATTAAATTTATGTAAACAAAAATATAACTGGGAACCCAAAAGAAACATATTTTGAACTGATTTTTGTGGATCAGTTGCAATATAAGGAATCTGAAGGTTCATCCTATCGTGATGGTTCATATTCTGAAACACCCGGTACACCAACTAAGGTTAGCAAAATGTTTCTAGTTTCATCTTTCCCATATTTTCATGCTTACAGAATCATTAAGTGTACACATCTCTTATTCCATCATCTATTGACAGCGAGCACAGCGTAGTGCTGATCAGGACAGGACATTCGGCCCTGACTTAAGTTTTGGAGGTAATTTGACCTTTTTCCTGTTCTCTATATTGGGATGATTTGTTTTGTAAGAGGCAAGTGCTTTTCATGTAAATACAAGTATCTTTACTGCGAAAGGAAGCTTTTAATAAAAAGCATGCATATGAGGAGCAAACTGATTTGCCAAAAACAAAATGAGGAGCAAACTGAAGATTACATTGGCATCTGAGCAAGGCAAGGGTCCATGAAGGTTCCCACCACAAAGGTGTTAGGTGTATGAGGAGCAAGCCTTACTATGTCATTTTGACAAAAGGCCACTCCCAAGACTTGAACCTATGACCATTCAGTCAGTGTAACTGGTGCGCCAAGCTTTCCTACAAGAGAAAGTGCTTCCCTTCTGAAAATCCCACTATTATTGCTTAAAGGAGAATCACTTGAAAAATCTAATAAAAGCACTTATATAACATGAGTATTCCCTACTGTTTTTATTTTGGTTCAAATTAAAGATTATGAGTTGCGACTACTTGGTTGTTGTTAGGTGAAAGAGTTGGTAAAAGGGATCAAAAGCGCAAGGTACACACCTTATTATGTATTATTATAGTTATGAGCACTAGTACTAGTATGTTGCAAGCTTATATAATTTACTAGTTTAGTGTAACAAGCTATCGATTCATGTCAGCCAACCGTCCGACCCCAAAATCTTTTGGGACAATACTGTACTATTAATTGGAACATTTCAAATGAATAATCTCACATTCACATTTAATGATGCTCTTTCCATGTTAATCCCAGCCAGATATGCGTAGTTCTATTATAGTAGTATGAACTTCATGGTTAACCTTCCCAAAATGAAGTAACATGGTAAACCGGTATGTAGAAGTCAGAATAACAAAATTTGAGAGGAAACATATGAAACTCTTACATACTTCATCCTCCTCCCAAACCCAAGGCAAAATCTCCAGATAGTTCGTATTGAATTTTTCATTGCAAAATAACCGCCTTCAGTACATTGGGCACACTGGCACAGCCGCATCAACTACTCCAGTAGCAACAAGTAGGAGGTGAGCGAGAGGCTGAAGTAGGAGATGAGTGGAAGGCTTCGTTAGTTCCAAAAGTTTGGGTCTAAAGTACAAATTGAAGGAGAGGACTTTTGGCATAGCACTGGAAATATTTTAGGAAAGAAAGCGAAAAATAAATGAAATGTAACAGAAAGGAAAAAACAAAGGACATTTACGACATGCTACGTCACTCCATGAACTGCTTAATTGGTATCTGCAGGTTACTAGTTCATCCTGGGAAGATACCCTATGATTGAGATCACATTGTCTGAGATTCTGTAATTAATATGTAATATAATTAATGTATTGTACGAATTTTTTATATCTACTCGTGATAGATAATTTCATATGGGAAAAATAATTCAAATCCCCTAAAGTTTAGAGAGGTTGTAGCTAAATACCCTAAACTTGCATATATATTATAAAAATATCATTAACTTTATATAAAAAATTATCTTAGAACAATGGTCTTAATTTGTTTAGTGTAAATTTATGGTGTTAAAACAGTTATGTGCACAGCATAATTATTCTTAACATATAGGAGGGTGCACTTAAGATTCTAACCTTCCATTTTCATTTAAGCAATTTGAGTTCATGGTGATGAAATCACCTATAGTGTAAAGTTTATGATGTTTATGTTAGACATAGTAAGTTTGGGATATTCAGTTCACACTTCTCCAAGTTTGGTGTATTTGGATTGTTTATGTGTTTTTATTTATACATTTTCCTCTATACTTCGCGTTGTTCTACGGAGATGTCTTAGAATTGTATATTAATCTGACAATTGGGCTGGTTTTAAGGCACCTGGAACACCCAAATTTGAAGGCTCCCCTGCAACGTCAAAACGTCCCAGGAAGCTGAAAACCTCAGATGGATAGCCTTTGGCAAGGTGGCTAGTACTCTCACTCTCAAGTTCCATATGTTTGCAGTGCTCTAACTGTTGGAGTTTTACCAGTGTGATGTGGTAGTTTGGGTTTATTTTTACAGAGGGAGCAGAAGCACTACCTTTCTGTGAATGCTTTCTTCTCCTTCTTCTTCAGGCATGATGTGGCCAAGCTGCATGAAGTGGTACGTTCAGCCACACTGGTGAAGGCTCCAACTGACTAGCATAGTGCTATTATTATTATTATTATTATTATTAAATTTTAACATTTGAGTTCCAGCCAGTTCTAATCTGTAAATTCCAGGTTTCTCTCTGTAATTATCCGCGCCAAACCTGGAAATTCTAGCTACCAAATATGGAGTGGGATTTACCACCACCAAGCCTAGTTCTTCTTCTTCTTCATGTTTTCTTAGAGAACTGACCAAAATATAAATTAGATTGTGTTTTAGATGAGAGTTTCACAAATTGAAACAAATTGTTTTAGACTTTGCGGCTTGATTGTCATTAATTTTACTCGTAGCAATTTTCAATTTACTATTGATTATTACTTAAGATTCACATGGTTACGATTTACGAATTACTCTAGATTGTCTGTTAAACCAGTCATTGATTTGGTCTATACTCCGTAAAAGTTTGATTAGGACTAGCTTTGCAAACGTTTATACATATTTTTTATTTTTAGTATCTTCTTTGAGAAAAGATTATGAAGTTTTCTGAAATAAACATTTGGGTTGAGCCGTTGAGGTGTTCTTTCGAATAACGGAATAAGCCAATGCCATCTCACAACTCCTTTATTTTGCTTCTTGCACGTGAGTATTCCTTTTTCTTTATTTTCCTTTTCAATTCTACGATTCTTTTTTTCATTTTCCATCAATACTATATGTCATTACAATTTTACTTTTCTTTATGTTCAACTTAAATTACAATTCAATCTATTTTTATTCTTTATAAATTCATAACAAAAATATTAATCTAAATAAAATAAGTATATTACATTTCACATTCATACACTATTTTCATTCCTATAATATTTTTTGTATAATACGCTCTTTTGTAATGTTTTTTGTATTATACGTAGTACACTTTTTGTGATATTAATCTAAATAATATTTTTTTATTTTTGTATTATACACATTTTTTGTAATATATTTTTTCTTATTTATACACTTTTTCTTGTAATATACTTCCTTTGTCCCTATTTAAAAGTCTATCTTTCCTTTTGGGTCATCCCTAAAAAAGTCTCATTTCCTTATTTGGTAAACAAAACAGTGCCAATCAGCACCCAAACAGTGCTACTTTCTTAAATTGTGTGTAAAAAAAGGGCACCTTTAAATAGGGACATATGGCATATTTCTTATGTCTTTTATATGTTTTTATTGTTTTAAGACATTAGATATGTTTATTTCGATTACATTTTTTCAATCATTTATTTCGATTACATTTGAATAATTTGATAAAATATGATATTACACTTACATTTTTACATGTGTGTGTGATGTTTATAGAGAATTTATGGAGTTACATATGATGGTATATGGAGTTATATCTGAGTTTTTTTCCGGATTAATGTCAATTAATTAATTAATTACGAAAATAGGGTTGGGTTAAAAGTTATTACCGATATACTGTTGGGATTAACCTTGGTCGGGTAAAGTTGCCAAACGATTTGGCGACTTATAAGTCGCCATCTGGTTTGGCGACTTATAAGTCGTCATCCGGTTTGGCGACTTTGCCCCACCCAAACTCTATGTTTCAGACCGGCGCCGGTTAGAGGCCAACATGGGCCGGTCGGGTGACCCCCGATGCAAAAATTTTCCGTTTTTCATCCTAAATGGATCCCGATTGTTGCAATTCACCGTTTAACGACTTACATAATACATACAAAACACAATTTGGTAGAAATGATACAAAGCGACACACCTGCTCAAAAATACAGTATAAAAAAAGCGTGTATACATCCGATATGCATAACCAAACACATCAACACTTCATAAACAAATGACAAAATACTAATAACACAATATCCATTAGTTTGAAGGTGAAAATATGTAAAAAAAAGTGAAGTGTTTCTACAACATTTGGTGTACATGTGTAAGTCCAATAATAGAGAGACTACAAGTTTTCATGATCTTCTTGATCGTCTTCGTCATGGAGTTGTGGTTGTTGACGCATACGCCTACGCCGCTGTCGTGGTTGAAGAACAACTCTGTCCCGCTGAGTCTGAGATGTAGAACACACCGCTGTTGTTGATGATGTCGATGCCATATAATCCTGAGAGTGGGTCATATGTATAAGATGTCCATATTCCACTCGGTCCAACACATTTGAACACAACGAAGCGATGCCCGTCAGAATCTGACCGTACATTTCCACGTCATGTGTATCATTAACCGTGGAAGTCGCTCGCTCATGTATACGCTACAATGCCCGTGTCTGAAATGTGAAACATGAATTATAATTATTTTGAAATAAATACAAATCTTAAATAAAGAACATGAAATACTTTTGTAATTAGTACCACACTCACTGGTAATGGTGAGTATACCCCCTGCTTCCTCAAATAATTTACCTCCCCAATGACACACAATTGAGAAGTTGGAGAATTTCATATTCTAATAACAATACATGACGATAATGGATGAATACACATTAATATACACACTTTATACACCCAAATATTTAAAACATAGACATAAAACATATTTAAAAGCTCTCATATTTAAGAAAATCATATTACATATACAACACTTAACAAAGGCAAAATAATAAGTTTTTCACCTAAAAAACTCAAAATATCACATTCAAATTCACATTATACACAACAAATGCACAAAAACATCAAAAAATTACATTGAATTCAAGATTAAAATTCAACATTTCATACTGATACGTTTGTAATTTCCATATGCATGTTTGTGTTTTTAATTAGTTTCGCTTGATCTTTACTATGGAAATTACACACTTTTGGTGTAATAGATTAGTTTGTTAAATTCTTGTAAATAGTTTAGATTAGATATATTCTGAGCTCAAACAGGTCTTGATCACTCAAAGTACAGTTGGTGAACCCAAAAAGTGGAAAGAAGGTGCAAAATTTGAAGACAAAAGAAGGATCCTGAATTTTGGTCTATACTCGGTCGAGTATTAACTATACTCGATCGGGTATTAGGTTGAAACTTCAAATCGGATCAGATCCGAAGACAAGGGAACATGCCGAGAGGATTTCGACCACGATTTAATGTCTATACCCGATCGGGTAGACCGACATACCCGATCGGGTAGACCGACATACCCGATCGGGTATGCCTTTGAGTTTTAAACGAAGATCGGTCGAGTATGGCTCGAATACCATTTTCTAAGCATACTCGACCGAGTATAAACATATACCCGATCGGGTATACCTGTGGAAAATAGCCTAAAACCGATCGAGTATACCTCGAATCGAGTATTACACACATACTCGATCGGGTACCATGTATATACCCGATCGAGTACCCGAATCCCATCCCAAAAGCCTATAAATACACCTCCTTTCCTTCACAAAAAGATATCCAATTCCTTTATACATCTAAGCTCAGTATAGAATAGTTCTTTCTTTATATTTTTCATCATGTTTAGTCTCCAAATGAGGAGCTAAACTCTTCCATCTTGGTTTTGCTACTTTGAAGCTTAATGAATTTGTAAGTTGTGAGTTATTTTCTTTAATCTTCTTCCTTGAATATTAATTCTTGCTTTAAAATACTATTTCTATATCAAAGTTGGGGAGTGTTACTAAGATGACAATTAGTTAACATCTTGACATTGGTTATAGTAATAGCTATTTCTTCCTCTATGTTAATAGTGGGGAGTGTTACTAAGATGACAATTAGTCAACATCTTGATATTAATCATTGTAGAATTCATATTATTTAATATTCTTCCTTGAGTATTAATTAATTCCTATTCATATTTCATGTTAATATCTTAAACATTACTTAAAGTATCAACTAGTTTTGTTTCTCATATTAATTATTAATTTATTACTAGAATCAATCGGTTAATACGCTTGTTATTAATCCAGTTCTTTCAACGGTAGTAAACTTGGAATATTAATGCATGCATCTCATGGTTAATATGCCAAGGGGAATTAATTATATTGATTAAACCAATAAACCGCTTGTGTTGAGGTTATCAATCTCAATCGTTTTCATCCTAAGTTTATTGCTACTATCAAGTTAATATACGGCGCTTGTTCTATATTGACTCGATAGTAAGTTTTATTAATGAACGCATCTCGTTATTAATAACTACCCTCGATGAACTGGATATACTCCTCGATTGAGTATTCGAGAGGAAGATAGTTAAAAATATAACCGGGATCGACGAACATTTCATTGAGTGGATAAAAGCAAAACCAAGTCCTCATCTCATTAAATTAAACTCATATAGGTTGTTCATCTTAGTGTTTTTAAATCAAACAAATCTAAACCCCCCTGATACTACTTATATAGAAGAAAAGTATTCCAATCCCTGTGGATACGAACCTTACTTCACTATACTACGTATTAGTGTTGTATTGTAAAATATTTTGAGTGCACCTTACGACAAAGTGCACGTCACATACATATTCACATTTCACAACAAACCAATTCACAAATCAATTCCTACTTTACAAATTCGAAAATTATGAATTGAAACCCTAGGTTGAAAAATGAGATGAAATTGGGATTTGATGTACCTAGAGGTTGAAGAAGATGATTGGGGAGTGTATTTGGTAGGTGGAATGGCCTCCTAGTAGCTGTAGTCGCCGGAAACCGTTGCTGCAGTTGCTCTTCGTCGGACCTTGGTTTGTGGATGTGTTCGTTTTATGTGTTTTGGAATGGGTTGTGCGCACGTTTTTTAACAGGCAAAGTCGCCAAACCGTTTGGCGACTTATAAGTCACCATCCCGGTTGGCGACTTATAAGTCGCCAAACCGTTTGGGGACTTTGCCTAACCCGGGTTAGGCCCAACAGGAGATCCGTAAATACTTTTAACCCAACAGTATTCCGGTAAATACCTAATTAATTAGCATTAATCCGAAAAAAAACTTGTTATATCTTCTTGTGCGGGAGTTACATTTTTTATGTGAGCTATATCTTCATTTGTGCGAGTTAAATTTCAACTTGCCTCGACAAGTTACAATTTGCATACACCTAAGTTAGATTTTTCATCGATGCAAGTCACATTTTTCATAACATGAGTTACATCACAAACTCATGCTATTGAAACAAAAAATAATTATTGTCAAAAAAAATATTTTGTCAAAAAAAAAACGATTTTTCTTTAAAACATTTTATGGTCATAATATTAAAAACAAAACATATTCGCTATTTATGTAAATTAATTAATTGGATAATTAGACTCCTTGTTTTCATTCTTTACATTAAATAGTACATGGAGTTATATATATTCTTATGCGTGACTTACATTTTTTTTGATGAAATTATGCGTGACTTACATCTTTTTATGTGTGGGTTACATTTTCTAGTGCGCGGGGTTACATTTGGACTTGCCTCAACAAATTGTATTTTGTCATAAGTTAGATTTTCCATCAACACGATTTGCATTTTTCATATCTTGAGCTACATCACAATTTAACCCCGCTATTGAAACAAAAAATATCTTTTGTAAAAAAAATGTTTTTTTTGCAAAATAAAAACTGTGACAATTATTTATGGCTTTAATATTAAACACAAAACACATTCACTATTTATGTAAAATAATTGAGCAGTCGGACTCCTTGTTTTCATTATTTGTATTGAAATCAATGTTTTAGAGAAGTTACATTTCGACTTGCCTGCATTTACATTTTTTTATCAACGTGAGTTGCATTTCTTTACACGGTAGTTACATCACCTTGCTACATGGACAAAGAAAAATGCAAAAAATATATTATTCATTCGTGTTTCTGTTCACACGTGCTTTGACCATGGAAGCATCATGCTCACGATGGGTTGCTCCTGGGATATAACTACCAGAATGTTACATATTTTGTTGAGTAACGTAAAGAATGGATCCATTTTGGTGTTGTTCCGTTCACCTTTGTATTATTGTTCATATGAGATCATAAATATTCTCCCCGTTTTAGAAAAAGAAAGTTTGAAATCAAGAAAATATATTTTGAGCATCATTCATCATTGTTGATGATGTTTTTTTAGTTTTGAGATTTTTAAAATTTATTGGGCGAAAATAATGTGGCAATGATATATGAGTAAAAAATCGATTATTTTAAAAACATGAATAGGAATGCCTCAAGTATAAATTGTTTGCTTACTTTCGTTTAGAGATTTTTCTTAACATATTACGTAGTACTAATAAAAAAATATGAACAAAAACATGACTACAAGAGCATCTCCAATATAATAATGTGCACCGTGCAGATGTGACATGAGAGAGAAAATCTTTGGTAATAATGTCAACTATAATTTCAAGGGATAAATACCTCAATATTATTAAAACTCAAGACATTTCCTAAAATATGACTATACATATTTTTGTATGTAATATATGACCAAACACATACATGGGGTGGTTACCGCACCTAACTAATTTCTTATTGATAGTGGCGTTACCACTCATGGAGCATGCATTAGGATGTTAGATTAGGAATAAAACTAGTGAAGTCATATATTGGGAAAGATATATTGTTTTAGTAATATTAGTGATAATTATCTCTAATTTTAACATCTAGACACTCTTCTTGAAATTGAGGACAAAAACTTACCAAAAACATATAAGACCACTCAAATAAGGAGAAACCAATTTTGCTTACTAATATTTGTGTATATATTTCTCTCGTAACACATGTGCATCATGCACATTGTGACGTTGGAGATTCTCTAAATAACTATAAGTAAGTTTTAACGTTATTATGATGTGGATGTTTTATACAATTATAGTAACTAAAAGTTATTAGGTCACATTTTTGTCCATTACATCTATTTTGATTATATATTTGAAATTGTATCCTTTTTATTTAGTGTTAGATTTAAGAGTGTTTGTTAATATTACCTATAACTTTTAGTGATTATAATTTTATTTAAATTTTATATCAATGTGATTATAAAATGTAAGTTGATGGAGTATATGCCCAGGAACCCCCGGCCCACATACTCTCACTACTACGAACAGGCCCAACAGGCCTAAGTGGCCCAAACACATGCAAGACCTTGGGGACGTATGACCTTTGCCATACGGAGGATCCCAGGATACGTACAGTCTCTGGCACATGAAGGCCCAAGGGACGTACGTCCTTCGATACATGGAAGCCCCCACGAACGTACGTCCTTCGATACATGGAAGCCCCAGGGGACGTACGTCCTCCAGCACATGGAAGCTCCCAGGGGACGTACGCCCTCTAGCACATGGAAGCCTCCAGGGGACGTATGTCCTGCAGCACATGGAAGCCCCCAGGGGACGTACGTTCTCAAGCACATGAAGGCCTCGGGGACGTACTTCCTCCAGCACATGAAGGCCCCAGGGGACGTACATCCTCCAGCACATTAAAGTCCTCTGGGGTACGTACGGCCTCCAACACATGGCGGTATCCAGCTACGTACGTCCTTCAGCACCTGAAGGCCCAGAGAACTTACGTCCTTCGGCACATGGATGCCAGGGGACGTACGTCTTCCAAGCACATTGATACCGCAGGGGACGTACGTCCTTCATCACAGGAAGGTCTCTGGCTACGTACGCCCTCTGACACATGAAGGCTCCCGGTCACGTACGGCCCCTGGCACATGAAGGCTCCCGGGGTACGTACGACCTTCAGCGTATAACGGTCCCCAGGCTACGTACGTCCCTAGCACGGCAGCAAGGCCCAAATGGCCCCTGGGTACATACCGCCTTCGGCGCTCTCCTCGATAGGATCTCCTCTCCACATGGTCTGAATCGCCGCATTGTCCAATCACCGAATTAACTGCGGCCACATGCTATCAACCACCACATTAAGTGCGGCCACATGCTATGACGGTGCCACCCCGACTGAATCGACTCGCCACCGTTGGTTGTTTGACACGTGTACCCTCATTTATTGCACCTAGCATTTATGGCAGCCATAAATAGCTAGCTACTTCTTCATTGTAAAAGATTCAGATCGAATTCATTTAATACATATCATTTCCCTCTCTAACTCTCTCTTTTCTCTAGGAGTTAATACTCCATCATAAGTCATTTGAATCACACTTCTTCATAAATTTCATTTTAGTAATATTCTAAAAGGAACCTTTTTTATTTTGTTATCTAAATAATTTTATCACTTTCTATTTCAAAGTAACTATTTTGTGCTTATTATTATTTTTCATTTTTCTATACAAACTTCATCACATAATTTTTTGTTCTTATTTTATGCATCAGAAAAATTTGATAAAAAGTCTAAAGTGAAGAGGAGATATTACGTAGTACCCGAGATTACAACTAAATCTTTTAAATTTCCCCCCAATAATCGTACTTCACACCGAGATTACTTACTCATAACAGAACAGAGTAGCCGGTTCAAAACGGAAATGGAAAGATGGTCCGTCGTCAGACACCGTGAAAGTAGCCAATCAGCGTTATTGCGATGATATTCCGTATCGGGCCATAGATTTACTCTCACTCTCAGTAAATTCACTTAAGAGAGAACTACCATTCCTAAATAAACCCGATTCGAAGCTTTTCTGGGTGAACCCTAGGAGAAATGGGCGGGCTTGCAAAGAAGAGGAAGGAGAAAGAGCAGCTCCTAGCCAAAGGGTCCCTCATTGAGGTGCGAACAAACGAAGAAGGCTTCTCGGGAGCGTGGTTCGAAGCCGTCGTCCTCAATCCGGATCCTTCTGATTCAGCTACAAAATCCGCCTTCAAGAAGAAGAAGAAGGCCGAAGAGGTCTATGTGCAGTACGACACCCTACTTTCAGACGATGGTCATAGTCTTCTAAGAGAGTTCGTGCCCCTGGAATACATCCGGCCCCGCCCTCCTCCTCAAACCGTTGAGGGTTTCGAGCTCAATGACACCGTTGAGGCGAGTTATAAGGATGGGTGGTGGACTGGTGTTGTGACTAAAGTTCTCCCTTCTAGCCGCTACACCGTCACCTTTGACAACCCACCGGACGAGCTTGAATTCGGCCTGTCTGACCTGAGATTTCATCGTCGGTGGCTTAACGGGAAGTGGACCCAGCCCAAAAAGAAGGTAGCTTGTAAACCCCATTTTCTGCCACCTCCCACTCTCACACAATCCGCATTTTCAGATTGCATTAGTTACTGTTCTTTCTCCTCTTTGCATTGTCATTTTCAAGGATTTGCTTTTCCAAGCATGCGAGGACTGCATGCATAGAATAATGTAGTTGATTATACACTTGTTGGATGATCCGAGTTACTTGCATTTAAAAGGACTTCTGAAATAATTGATCAATAATCATCTTCTTTGAGAAATTACCCATGATAGGAGTAAAACATGGATCAAGTTCACCAATAGAACTAACTGTGTTTTATTCCCAAAACGAGACTTTTTAAGTCCTCTCGGGAGAAAAAAGAATAGTGGTTCTATTTTATAATAAATGTGTTATGTCATGGTTCTATTAGGGGAATTTTATATAGATCTTTGAGACTTTGACAAACACACAAAGTGTACCTCTATTATAAAATTTCATTGCATTTATATGATTCATTTAAGTGCCAATGTTGATAGCTGAGAAGCCGATAGATCTGAAAAAGGTTCTGCACACACATACAATCATATGCTATTTTAGTACTGACTCAAATCATTCAATCCTCCAACGCGTTAAAGTACTGATTCCTTTTCACTGATTTTTATTAATTACCTCCAGTTTATTACCACTAATCTGTTTTGTTGTTAATATATGCATCAGTGGTTCATTAAAACTTACTCCCTCCGTTCCTAAAAATTCTTCCCGGTTTGACTTGGCACGCTTATTAAGAAAGTGGAATAAAGTGGAAATGTATGGTTGTGGTTGTGTAAGAAAAAGGTAAAATGAATGTGAGCCACAAAAATTGTCCAAAATGGGAAAGTGGGAAGTATTTTTGGACACATCCCAAAAAGGAAAGTGAGAAGTATTTTTGGGAACGGAGGGAGTACCTTATATGGGATATATAAAATGGTTATTATTTGCTTCTTCTTTTTTGCTTATTTAGTTTTAAATTCATATTCTTTTGGGGGGTAAAATTCTCAAAAGAAAAAAGCAGGATTGACATATAGTGTGGGGGGAAAGGTAGAAGTCTCATTTGACGGGGTTGAGTGTAAGGATGCTTGGTTCCCTTCAAAAATCGTTAAAAGTCATGGTGATGGCTCTTTCTTGGTGAAGACCCCAAGGCCAAATGGTGAAAGTGAGAAAGAGCTAATTAGACTAGCTTTTGATGATGGCATTCATATCCGACCATGCCCTCCACTCCACATCAAACAAAATCATAAAAGTTATGGTTTGCTTGACAAAGTAGATGCTTTTTATGATTTAGGATGGTGGCTTGGAGTGGTAAACAAAATACTTCTCGACGATAAGTATGTTGTTGTCTTTCAACATGCGAAAAAGGAGAGGGTGCTCAATCACTCCGATCTGAGACCTCACTTGATTTGGAAAGATAGAAAATGGTATACTTCTCAGGTATTCTCACTCTCTCTTTCTTCTACTAATACTCCTTTTGCCCCAAAAGGAGTATCAAATGCGTGGCATAAGGATATTGTGTTAATTTTGGCTCTTATCTACTATCCAAAATAGAAGTCTTGCACTCATCTTTAAACTGTCAACATAAGAATGCGTTGCAACTATTAAGGAATGGATGATAGTCTAATATTGCATTCGTGCAAAACTGTGTCTGTTTTTTTTGTTAAGAGGATCTGTTAGTTTTCCACAAAAATACGTATTGAGGAAATGTTTGGATTGTATTTGGAAGTTTTAGAGATTTTGATTTCCATACATATTCTATTTCAGGGTGAACCGGTCTCTTCATATTGCAACATTGAGGAAGGGGACAACTGCAATGATCTGGATATGATCCAAAGTGATGTTCCTTCTAATAACCAATGTACTCCTACAAACGGAACATCTGGAGAGGGAATGACCAGATCCTTAGTTTCTGATGGGGGGGAGAGTCAGCAGCTAACTGTTTGGAACGCTTCAAGTTCTAGAGTTTCAGTGACGGTAAAGAAGCAGCGTTTGGATCCGTCAACAGGAGGTTCAACTCAATTACCATCCTATGACACATCTAAGAAAAAGGAAAGTGAATGTGAAACTCCAGCTAAGGAAATACCATGTAGCTTTTCCAGCCCAGACCAATCTTCTGTGGGGAATACAGCTGTAAGTATATTTGCTGGAAGCATATTTTCTTTTAACACAGAGAAAGTGAGGGAGGTGGGGGAGGTTCTTCAACCAATAATAATAATAAGGGAAAAATAATAAAAATACCCCAAACTTTGAAGGGGTGTGAGGTAAACACCCTAAACTTTCACATGTAATTTAAATACCCCAAATTTTATATAAAAAGTTATTTTTGCACCATTGTCATATATTATTTCTTTCAAAAATGTAAATTTATTAGGTTAATTGCAAAATTTAAAATAGCAAATTAAAAGTGCTGCAATTGTATTGATTGGGGGTAATATTATTTAGGGGTAACATTATTTATTTCGCAATGGAAGTTTAGAATGTTAATAGTGTCTTCATGAAAACTAAAATATTTTAAATTATGCAATTAACCCCATAAATTTACTTTTTTGAAAGAAATAATACATGATAATGGTGCGAAAGTAACTTTTTATATAAAGTTTGAGGTATTTAAATTACTTATGCAAGGTTGGGGTGTTTACCTCACACCCCTTCAAAGTTTGGGGTATTTTAATTATTTTTCCCAAATAATAATAATAGTAGAAGTAGTAATAATAACTATTACCATTAGTATTATTACTATTACTATTGCAGGTAATATAGTAATAGTAATACTACTATAGTAATAATAATTAATATTACTATTATTATTGGGGGTTTCCTAAAATATTAGTAAAATTGAACTTATGGACACAAATATGACTACGTGATCACTCCATGACTGATAGAATGCTACCGTAGTCACTACAATGTAAAATTGAACATCAACACGGTCACTTAAGTTGCTACAAAAACACAAATATAGTAACTGTGTTGTAAAAGTCACATTTCTGTCCACCCTAAGAACACATAAAATCTCAAAACAATCAGGCCCCATAAAATCTGAAAACAATTAGTGCCCAAAAGTTTAGTAATAACAGTTACACCCCGCTGTAACTGTCACACCCTGCTTCCTTGCAATAATTTGTTCTAAAATATGCTAGACTTAATCCAAGAGTGTTTTTTCAAAACTATTACTAAAATGAAACTTATTTACAAAAATATGACTAATAGTTACTATAGTATAATCTCATAGTCACTTAAGTGTAAAAATTGAACATAAGTTGCTATGACTAAGTTACTACTATAGCCACTATGCAAAGGAGGTCACATTTTTGTAAATGACATTTATTTTAGTCATATGTATGTTATGTCTTAATCCAAAACAATGTCTTGCATGAAAGTAGCTATAGATTTTAGGTGAATTCTTCTTGCTATGTCTGCGACTTTGACTCTCTTTTAAGTTTGTTTTCTTCTACCATCTATGTAAATTCATAATTTGATTAGGAGAGGAATAGCTCTGAAGTTAATGAGCGGGGATCAGTATCAGGTCCACATCGAAAGAAAGGGAGGCCAGTAAAATCTCAAGCAAAACGCCCACAACCTATAGCTCAAGAAGGTATGTGTTTCTTATCTTTCTTTTTATGTGTTTTTCTTGTTTAAAAAACATGGCTCAATTCGACAGATGGTAAACAGGTACACCAAACAGAAAGAGAGGAAGGCCACCAAAGGCACTTGTTGAAACTCCTGATGTACAAATAGAATATCAAGTTCCAAAACACACCCAAGGTAAGGAATGATCTTTTTGTAATTCTGTCCGCTTGGGTGTGTTATGGTTTATGCAAAAAATAATCATGTTTCTATATACCTTTAATATAAAGGTTTTTGGTTTTAATCATTTCGTAGACACTATTGAGACTCGTGGAAAGGAAAATGTCGGATCCGTAGGCATGGAGAAAATAGGTCATGCAGATTCTAGCAACGTCTCTGATGATCAGCCTCTCTCAACGTGGGTTGGTAAAGTGTACACTCCAACTGATGTGGATGGATCAGGTAAGTTATATCTTGTTGTACTTCCCTTGTTATACTTTGTTCCTATTTGATTGCAACGGTTTTGTTATCACATTGCCAATGTACAACTTGGTTGTTAATATATTTAATAGACTATTAATAAAAATCATAAAAAAATCATATTTGAAATTTTACACCAAAACTAATTTAACACCCTGTCCCAAAATTTTCTTCACACTTTACTTTTTGAGGATGCCACAAAAGATTTTTCCATTTCCTTAGGGGATGATTTATGTGTTTGATATTGTTTTTCTTTTGTTTACATCAACCACAATCTTACAACTTCACTTTCTTAATAAGCCAAGTCAAACTGGGAAAGTTTTTTGTGATCAAAGTAGTAATATTTTTCATCATATAATTTTTTAAATACATTAATAAATAAAATGTTGTCATCAAAGAAAAGAGGTAAACTTTTGCAACTATCAAAGAAAAGAGGTAATATGATTCTCTGTCACCATCACCACTATAATATAATAACTATAAATGTTATTCTTACGCCAGCAAGTAATGGGGAGCGAGGCACAGAATCAGGTGAGAAGTCTGCCGAGCCAACTCCAGATGGTAAAGTGACAACTGCAAGTGACCTCCACCAAAGCCTGCCTTTTGTGAAGAAAGACACACTTCTATGGAAAATAATAGAATCCAGAGAGGCTTTCAAGAAAATTCCACAGAATCCGCATTTTCGGCCACTAGAACATGTTGAAGACTTTCGCCGTGAAGCACAGGCTTTCTTCTACATGGGAACCTTCACTGATATAGTAGATAAGGCTTGCAAATTGGAGGTTGATGGTCCGAGAAGCACCATTGATGGAATGCTGGACACACTTGTTGAATTGGAGTCACATGGGTTTAATGTTGCGCCGATACATGGTCGTTTGAATGAGGTCCTGTCATATAAAGACAAACTGGAAAGTCTCGAAGCCTTATCAAAGGAAACCTGCAATGAAATAGAGAAGCTCAAGATGGACAAAGTAGAGCTCATGAAGCAAAAAGCTGAGTTGGAAAAAGGCCTTTCCCAGGTGGTGTCCAGGATAGAGTCCAAGGATCATGACATTGCTTCTGCACAGTCCAGGATGGATGAGACCAGCGAGAAAACAAGACACTTGCGCCAGGATTTGGATGCTTTAACTCGCAAACCATTTTGAAAAGTACTACTGCACTACCAAACTTGTTGGTAGTGCGCAGAGTTGTGTGTATGCTATGGATTGTTCACCCTCCCTTTAACAAGTAGACGATATGGAACACTGCAATTATGAATTGCTTTGATGATCCAAGTGGGTCTTTCTGACTGATTTTGGAACCAAGATCTCTCTAGATTAATGTAACGATTAGGAGCAGTTTTAAGTAGATTAGTGGGGGTGAAACATCACTTGGGATTTCATCATCTTTAAGAGAGATTAGCTTTTTCTTAATTCCTCCTTTTCTTTGGTCTCTTGATTTAAATTTTAGTTTGCGTTTTTATATTCCACGTGGTTGGTGTTTATAATATCATGCTTCGCTTAGATGTTAGTGTACGTTTCTTGAAGATTGCTAAATTTTTTAATTTTGACACAAATGAATCCACTTAAGTGACAATTTGGTAAAATAGACCAAGTTCATGTATTGGATTCGAGAAAGTACTTTTACTGAATACTTTAAGCTTGTTACAGAATAAACCCTTATACTATAGTCAAGTCTACAATTAGGTCATCTCGTGATACTCCATCTGGTTTCTCCTTCCTATGTACGTGTTTGTCTTTTGTTCTTGAAATTTCATTTGTGGGTGGGTTACAGGTTGAAGGATGAGAAGTAGCAAATAGAAGGTAGGAGTAGCCTAGTGCCCTAGTAGGTCATTAAAAATGAAACAGGAGAAGGGAATTGGTGAAAACAGATGAGGGGAGATGGGGAATAGTGGGAAGACAGGGAGCTGGGGAAGATGAGGTAACAAGGGAAAAAGAACGAAAGAAAAGGAAGGAGTAAGAAGAAAATAATTACAAGGACAGGGAAAAAGCTACGATCCTGTTTGGTAACACTGAAATTGGCTGAATCGGCTAATTCTATTGAAATTTATGAAAATTGGTTGAAGTGACTTACTCTGCTGATTTATGAAAATATTATATGTTGGGTTAATGGCCCAACGGGGGTTAAGGCCCACCCTACGAACGTCCCCAGAAGGTCCAAGACAACGGGCTTATCCTGGCGAAGTTCGTCCCCAGGGAACGTAAGTATCCTAGTGTTGGCAGGTACCTTGACCCAGGAGCAGTATGAGACGCACATCTCGCAGGACTTTGGGCCCAGCAGGAAATAAGAGGCAAGCTCATGGGGACGAACGTCCCCACCCCTTGACGGGAAGCCAAGATCCTGGAAAGGTCCGTCTCCAACAAGGCCAGGCCTCAACACTAAGCTCATGGGGACGAACGTCCCCACCCCTTGGCGGGAATCCAAGATCCTGGCAGGAGGTGCATTTCATGCATAAGATTTGGTGATTGAGCATTTAATGCAGAAGATTTGATAGTTTCACATTTAATGTAGAAGATTTGATGGTTGGGATCAAACCATCTGCAGCCTGTCACGTCAACGCATCCAACTACCCATTGGCGGTATAAATAGTAGCATTTATTTCATTGTAGAAGTAGCATTGTAGCAGCTCGCAGCATAGCGAAGAGACGAATGGCCTCTCAACTTTGTAATCCTTTCCGTGCATTAAGACTTCTTATTGGGCGTTTCTTGCTTGTTTCTCCATCTACTTCAATACTTCTTCCATTTGAAACGCTTGGGTCGTGTGTTGGGTCTACGGGTTTGAAGGAATAAACCTCAACATTATATTTAAAATATTTTTTATTAATAGAATAAAGAAAAATTTATATGAAAGAATAGGAAAAATGATCTTCTACATTAACTTCATCCAATACAGTCAGAAAAATAACTTCAATCTTACTTTTCCTTATTATTACACAGTTTAGCGCACACAATCAAAAGTTAAGTGTTTGGTGAAAAAAATTGGGTGAAAAGTATTACTACTAATGAGAATGATTACCGGCTGAAATCAACACGTTAAAATTATTACTCCATATTTGAATTTCTTATGAAATAATGTACTCATAATTGATCTAGGTAAGTGGTACCTAGGAAAGAGATGCTCCGTATAACTTTTTATTAGAGTTTAATGCACCAAACTCATTTATAATATACAATTTTGATTTAATGCATTAACTCATTGTGATTTAAAAAATGCGTCAAACCATTATGTGTTATAATTATTCATGTGCAAAACTCCCTTCATGAATAAATTTAATAATTTGAAAAGCTCGTATTTTAATATTATGATTTAATATGCAAGTAAATTTGTCAAAATCTCTAAATTATGAAAACTACTAATCATTTTTCATTCATTTGACAATTAAGTTTGTTCTTGGAGGGGTGTGATGCATTTTTTAAAACAAGAGGTGATGCGTCAAATTTATATATCACGAGGAGGTTTGATCATTGATGGACTCGGGCCGCCGGTTTGTATGACATGGGCCCGGGACCGGCCCGAGGGTTGGACGGGTCCGGTTCGGGCCGGGCCACCCTCCCGGGTCACGGGTCAGGTCCGGTTCGGGCCGGGCCGGTTAAATTTGTTTTTTTTATAAATTATATTTTATAGTTTATAGTTTTATACGAGTATTAAAAACAAACTTCAAGTGCATTTATTTGAAATGAAATAGGAACTACATTTGAAAATTAAAACAAACTTTAAGAGACAAACATTTTGAAAATTGTAATCAATCGGAACTTCCCGCACCTCCCGATCCTTTAGCTTTGTCACATGACTTCATATGCTTGATTGCCATCCCGTATCCGCCTGAAACCCCCATGCTACATTTTCTTTCGCACCATTTGCAAATTGCGTACCACATCCCGGTCTTCGGGTCCTTCTGCTTATCAAAATAATACTGTATAATGGCATCTTGATTTTCCATCTTAACTTCTTAAGTATAAACTATAAAGTAGATATATAAATAATAAATATAATATACTGGAGAATAAGAGAATTAGAGAGTAGAGAGTTAAGAATAGGATTTAGGAAGAATTGGAGAAGAGATATGAAAAAATGTTTAAGATTAGGAGTATTTATAGGTTTTTTTACCCCCCACCCCCCACCACCACCCCCCACCACCCAACCCCCCGGACCCCCCCCCCCCCTTTACCCCACCCAACGGCTATATAGCCGTTTGGGTTGTCCCCAGCCCCACCCCCAACGGCTAGTAGCCCACTAGCCCAAGACCCAAATTATTTTTTTAAATTAAGACCGGACCCGGGCCGGATCACATTAATCCAGCACCGAGCCCGCCCCGCCCATTCCCACCGGTTCGGGTCCATACCTGGTCCCGGACCGCCCGACCGGGCCGGTCCCGGGCCCGCACAGTACTGGGCCGGGCCGGGTCACGGACCGGGTGGCCCGAACCGAATCCAACCCTAGGTTTGATGCATCAAACCCTTTTTATTAGAATGGTTAACTTTTATTTCTAAATATGACAATTACTATATATTTAATTATCAACTCCTTCAATATGTAAAAATGAATGGACTTTGTCAATATACTTTTTTCCTGCATTCTAGCAATGTCAATAAAATACGTTCTGAATATTTTTTTTATATTGCATTTGTAAAACATTACTTAAATTTTTACACTATACTATTAGTAATCTGCCGGCTAAATATACGCAATGTACGAGGAAAATATTTAAGATGAAGCTTAGGAAGAGTTCCAAACATAGGAGTTTTTTTAGAAAGGAAAAGTTTTATTGAAAATTGAGAATAAAAGTACAAACAAGGAAAGAGAAAACAATACAAGAGAAGTAAAGGAACCAAAAAAAGAAGGAAAAAAGGTGCAACACTGAGGAACCCAACAAATTAGTGCAGTGCGTGCGCAGCTTTGGTCTCAGTCAGCTGATCCTATAATTCTTGTTCTGATGGAATTGATCTTGATGGGGTGTCGAAGTCATCATTTGGGATATCCGATTCCTTAGTGTGTGAAGGATCGTCCTTGGACATTTCTGAGAAAGAGTTTTCCTGGGCTTGAAATTGAGACAGTTCTAGATCCTCATTGCCAAAACCACAAATATTCTGTGATTTGTTGACGCGCGCTGACATAGGAGTTAAATGTGCTTAATATTCAAAAATAAAAGGAGTGAATATTTGAAGTTCCCCAAATAAGACTTATCATTCGTGATTGAACAAATATACCCTCATAGGAGTTGAAGCTTGATCACCGGACTACGACCGCCAGATCACCATCACTGATGACTGAAATCCGCCGCTGAATTGCCCCACTACTGGACTGCTCTGTTTATGCTAGGGAACTAAGGACAATTACATATATTAAGGGTAGAATATAAAATATGAAATCAGAATATAACTATGTTTTAGTTCTATTTAATCCAATTTTTTCTTTGCATTACTATCGCTTACGAGAACACTAGGCTGCAGCACAAATCCACAATCAGACAAAATTTTTATATCGAGGGTGTTTGGAAAATAGCGGTTCAGCCAAAACATGGCGGGTTGACCCATTTTAGCGTTTTCAATAAGTGAAAACATTGTTTGGAAAGTAGCTTTTCGGCCCTAGCGTTTTTGGGCGAAACCGATGAAATGAAAACACTTCAAATAGCAGCGCTTCGAATTAGCGTTTTGAAATATGACGTTTTCTAGTCAATCGAAATAACTAAATTACCAAACATCTCCAGCCAACCCGCCAACTTATTCCACTAGTCAAGTCCACTGACTGAATCCTCTATTGACAATCTGCTAAAATAATCCACTACCCGCTAATTATTAATCGCTAAATGCCAAACACTCTCGTTATGAAAATGTAAAAGTATTTCCGGGTGCTTCAGAATTGTTCTAGAACATAGTTAGTTAAATACGGTACGGGAATTCAACGTGTTTAATACGTACGTGTTTTATTCGGTAACTTGAACAAAAATACGGTCAAAAATTCGGCAAAAAATACGTTGACTTTTATAAAACGTGTAAATACGTATACGTGTATAATACGACATCTCTTAGAAAAATTCGTGTTAAAAATACGGGTCTTATTTTGAATGATTAAATTATTGTACTAGTTTTTAGAGCATAAAAAACATATAGTACGTAAAAGATAATCAACATACACACATTCAAATATAATATCTCATTAATTACTCCATCAAAAAATGCATTCATAATAACATAAGTTCATGACAGAAAAGAAATAATGATTAAGTCCAAAATAACATTTAAATTATATACTTCATAAAAGAACATATAATAAAAAGAAATAAAAGTGTACACATATTGAAGTAGCAAACCACATTAGTACATAAAAGAATAATTCGTATTTGCATAAGTCGATGATAAAAGTAAAAATTTAAGTCCAAGACATAATTTTGCAAAGTAATGTCAAAAAATAAGGCATAATAACGATGAAATGAGGCTAAAGTTAACAACATCATCATCATCTTTATATGATCATACAGTAACACTCAAGTTAAACTCATCATTTTCACCTAGATGATCGACGGATGACATGAGAAAGTTGTGCGACTACTACACTTATCATTGTTTATGTGTAAAAAATTTATACTAAAAAATGTCAGGTTTAGAAAAAACTTAACTTTGATATACTTGTTTGGAAAAGAACATCACAAATCTAATACGTGATAGTATTTTAGATTTTAGTCTTTTAGGATGCTAGCTTTAATCATTATGCAATTAATTTTAGTATTTAACAATTGTATATTTTGTATTGTAACATTACAAAAACACAGGGTCACGGGGATGAGGTTTTCTTTTTTGCTTTTAAAATATTGTTGATCTTCTATTCATTTGATGTATTCATTCAAGTGATCAATTAATGTTTTTATTTTTGGTAAAATACGGGAAATATACGTTTTATACGGGAAGTGGAAGTTTTTTTCCTATTTAAACGGATCGACATTACTATTCAAAAAAACGGTACGTGTTTAAAACATGTTTTGAACTCAGAAAAAACTAACTAGGTTCTGGAAGCCATTTTTGAGAAGTTTGGGCTAACTATTTTTGGAAAATCTATTCTATTCTACTTTTAGGGGTTGTTTGGAACTGATTAAGATTCTGATTCTTTTTTAAAGCAGAAGAAGAATCAGAATCAGTTTTCAGAAGCTGGTCACCCCAGCTTCTAAAAAAACTGATTCTAGGAGTAAATTAGAGTACCAGAATCACTTCTGTACTTTTACCCAAACACTACAACTTCTTCTTCTACTCCCTGAAGTAATAGAAGCAGTTTTGAGAATCAAATACAAACGCCTCTTAAGTAGAGGTAGAATCAATCCTATAGAAACTACAACCTCTTCTTTCTGTTTCAAGTTTCAACCCACAAATAACTACTTACTTACAATGGCTTATTCTCATCGTTAAATGCTCTCATGAAATTTCAGAGGCAAAAGTGTAGACTCGGTGGAAATTCAGACCCATTGCAGAAGGAGAAAAGAGAAGCTCACGCAAGGAAGAACCAATCAGTGTACTGCGCTTTCTTGCACATTTAGAAGCTAAGCATTTCACGCAGGTCCGTAGTTTTGAATTAGTAAAACCCAAAAGTCAGTAAAACTAGATATTTGATTTCATACTCTCCCTTTAACTTCTGTGATGCGTTTGTTGAAACCATATATTATAGGCTTCCGGCCCATTTTCCGCCATATTGCTACCCATTCAATTAATTTAAACCACGCCATCAACCGATTCATCCGCAATGGCAATCTGGATAGAGCTAGAGACCTTTTCGATCGAAATCCCATCACCCGAAATGTGGTCTCCTGGAATTCAATGATCATGGCATACTTCAGGCAGGATCAGGTCCAACACGCAGAGGAACTGTTTGATCAAATGCCCTATAGGGACCTCATTGCCTGGAACACCATGCTTTCTGGGTTTCGTCATACCAATCAACCGCAACAAGTCTACAGCTTCTTCCATCAGATGAATGAAGTTGGGGAGAGGCCAAACGAGCTTACCTTCGCTGTTGCAATCAGCGCCTTCTTAGAAACCAAATTCAACATTCTCATCCCTCAGCTCCACTCTCTGGTCATCTGCTCAGGCGTAAAGCTCAATGTTTTTGTCGGGTCTGCCTTGATGAGGGGTTATACTGACTTGGGTAGTTGTGAGGGGTTGGATCGGGTGTTTGATGATATTTTATTGGGCTGGAAAGACGTTATTCCTTGGAACGTGTTGATTCTGGGTTATATGGAGTTTGGGCTCACTAGTAAGGCTCAAGAAGCTTTTGATATGATGACTCCTGAGAAGAACTTCGTCACCTGGAGTACTTTGATCAATGGGTATCTAAAAAATAAGGATCTTGATAAAGCACGTCTTATGTTCGATAAAATGACCGACAAGGATGTGGTCTCGTGGAGTGCAATGCTGAAAGGGTACGTGCAAAATGGACACTTAATCAAAGCTCTGGACTTGTTTCTGTTGATGTTGACTTCCTCAACTCGTCCTAACCATTTCACTTTATCCACCATTTTAGATGCATGTGCAGGATACTCTTCCCTTGCCATAGGCATTCAGGTGCACACGTTGGTTTTAAAGATGGGTATCTGTCGTAATGTCATAATCTCAGCCTCACTTGTTGACATGTATGGAAAATGCGGTGACATTCAATCTGCTTTCTGCATTTTCAACTCCATGCCCAGAAAGACCTTGGTTTCATGGAATTCTATCATTGGAGGATGCGCCAAACATGGCCTTGGACGTAAGGCAGTGGAGGAATTTGAGAATATGCTGAAGAGTGGGATTAAGCCAGACGAGATAACCTTCATCAATGCACTTTCAGCTTGTGTTCATGGTGGAATGGTCGAGGAAGGTGAAAGGATTTTCAGATGCATGGGGAGAGAGCATGGGGTGGAACCGGATATGAAACACTATGCGTGTATGGTGGATTTGTACGGGAGGGCAGGGGAGCTGGATAAAGCAGAGGGTTTAATAAAAGAGGGGATGCTGCTCTTCAAAGCTGACGTGGTTGTTTGGGGTGCCTTTCTTCAGGGATGTGGGCTGCATTCTTACCCTGAGGGTGAAGGGATTGCAGCAAAGCAAATGATCAAATTGGAAAGGGATCATCCAGCAGCTCACTCGGCTTTGTCTAAAATCTTAGGTGAAAATGGAGCAACCAACATCACTACAGCCGAGCGAAAGTGGCGTGCTAGAAAGCAGAAAGCTGGTAGTTGGGTTGAGTTGTAGTTTGTATTGTTAGAGAATATATTCTTTGGACTGTACTATTGGGTTGTTGAGCCATGCATGGCGGCTGTGTTCAGCATAGGGATGAAAGCTGAAATGGAGAAATGGGAGACATGAGGGGAGCTAGGGTCTGACAAACCGTGGGCATTTGGACTGTGAGGTCAGTAGGTGGGTAGCGTGCGGGCCTTGGGCACGGGGGTGCCCCCACCACCACTCCGCCTGTGGATGTAGAGGAACTTCTGGGCCTTGAGGTAAAATAAAGAAGAAAAAGGAGACAATTGAGAGTTGAGGCTTGCACAAGGCATTACCCCAAAAGTACGTCTGTAATGGCAAAGTATAAGGTCCAACAAACAACAAATACTCCCTAAATATAAGCAACTTTCTCTCAAAGTGTGTACTCACTTTGTAAGAATGGAACTCAAAGTTTTATTACACCAAAAAATGTTGAAGAAATTAAAGATGTAACTCTCAAGAATTTGATGGGTTAAATAGATAAGCTATCAGATAGTTGTGTATTCGAAATGTGATAGTTGTCTAGTAGATATGTATCTATAGGTAGAAATAATAATCTCTTCATATCACAAGGGCTTTCAACAATACAACAACAACAACATCCAAGCCTTAGTCCCAAAAGATATGGGGTCGGCCAACATGAATCGATACATGAAGGGCTTTCAACAATAATGGAGATTAATTCGAAACAAAATCGGATCTGAATTGGTCTGGGAATAGGGTTATGCAAGCTGTAGGCAATCGGGGAGAGGAGACTTATTAAATCCCTCTTAAGTAGAAGAAGCGACTTTAGCTGGACTGTGAAAGACTACGGTTTGATCATAGTTTGACTGAGTGAAGGCTCAGCAAGAGTAACCAACTTGTGTGTTGTTACTCATCTGTTCTTCAGCAAGTTAACTACCACTCTCTTCCACAGAATGTTGATCACCTTACTGTAAGTCAACTTGCTGTCAACCAGCTCTCGGATAACCTTATTTATCATCATGTTGTCGTTAAAAGATCAAGTGTCATCCTCTTAATAAAATTGTATTCTACACAAGTGTCATCCTAACAATTTTGGAAGACTTATATGCGGGTGGCTTGGTGTTGGATCTAAATATTTCGTCTGAGCTATGACTCATACACCACAATTAAGTGAAATAATGAAGGTTGTTAGAGACTTAGAGAGCATTGTGTGAATTTCATATCAGGGAAAGATCATGAGACGCTTGAGAGCAAATATTTGCTCTTATAATTCATATCACCTACTCAGTTGTCGTTGCATTTAATATAGTTAGTTTCTACTTTCTACTCCGTATGATACACGGATATAGTCATAAGTCATGTGAATATGATGATAGCCTGATAGGGCAATTCATGCATGTGAATTTTGATTATGGCAATCTAAAAAAATATAGGAATCCAACTTATCCAAGTACATAGGTGCAATGGCTATCCCTAAAGGTTTATCATTTCCTCTTAAAAGTAACAAATTTATGGTTCATATTATGTATTTCTTTACATAAATTTCAATCAAAATTTTTATTATAAGTGCAAGTCAAATTTTATCAAAAGCACCATGAAGAAATGCTCGATAGTTTCAGTCTTGATCTAAGACAAACTAGATAGTTAGCTGAAAAACTCGATGAAATGGAAAACCTTGCAATCTGGCATGGAGTAAGAAACCATTCCTGAAGATGTCCACTTTTTGAGATTTTAATAATCATCCAATGGTAATGTTAAACTGCATTTTATGGTTTACAATATTTAAGGAATCTCATTCTCCCCTAATAGCACATAAATCCATACTAGTGATTATAATTTGCATGCATATTTCAAATATAATAAAAGTTTTATCAAATCACCAAATATGAACTTGAGATAAGCTCGGTACTTCAGTTTAGAGAATAAAAGCAAATCAAATTAACAGCATGAAAGTGTCAAGAGGGTGTAATAACTTATTCGGACTTATCAACTCAAAATTTGTATAATTATAATTTATTAAAAGATTTTAAAATGGTAGAAAGACAGGCTAACAGGGTTTGACACCAGTTTATCTGCCCCCACCCCCCATGCAAACAACAATTTTGTCAAAAAAAAACTGCTTCCAGTTCCAGCAAAATATAAACAGAGACTATATGCACTATAAGTTACATATGAACAAAAAAGGAGCAGCATGCGCCTGATGGATAATGATACAATCACTACAAAGGTCAAAGGGGCATGGCTATGAAGCTGGATCACACCCATTATACATCTTCTCTTCTCATACTGCTACTACTGCTGCATGTTTGCTTTCTGGGTGTGCGATTACGTGATCATGAAGAAGCAGGACCTTTAGTGTGCCTGATTCCTTCAACCAGGCCGCCACCATATCCCCGGATGAAACAAACCTCCCCATATTACATTTTGCAACTTCAAATGGAGCCCCAATGCTGTCCAACAGCGCTTCTATCGCTCTCTTCAAGGTCCCATCTCCCATTACCTTGCTGTGTTTTCCCCATCCAGTCAATATGCTGCCCATTCCACACATCACGCATTATTTCATTAACCAGATTTCCACCTACCACTCTTTATTAGGAAATCGAGTATGTGTGTGTGTGTAAAGTTAACCATACCTCAACCACCTGGGTAGGTCATGGCCTTCAAAAACAACTGCACGTATACTGAGTAACCAGGCATGCAACATCGCACGTGCAGCACCTGAAGACATCAAATGGAGATCCAAGCATGAATTGGACCATGTGTTTTCCCACACATTCCGCCGTTTTCCTTCCAGCACCACCAATTGTGCACCCCGTCTCTGCAGTAAACGATGTAAGAGCATTTCTCAATATAAAATCAAACAAATCAAAATGCTTCGTACATGTAATTACTAAGACGATAATTATAGCACATTGCTTGTGTGTTTTGTATTTTTCTATTTTCCTGAGCTTAAAAAGTTCCTGCAAGATGATACATCGTGGAAAACACAAAACTTTAAGTGCATATATTTTGTCTTTAAGCTTAGTCATTTCGAATGCTCATTTGAGCTTGGCTTGACTCCACCTCAAAATGCTAATCTCGCAGGATCACAAGATGGTCTCTGATCGAGCAAACCAAGCTCAAAGTAGATGTGCTATTCAGTTCGATTGCTCGTATGACCATAACTAACTCTAATACTATATTAGAACTTGAGATTCAATACCAAAAAGAACCCTATATGTTGGCTTGTAATTAGCAGATTAAAACGGAGTTATATAAATCATATTTCCAGCGGAATTAAAACAGAAATTAGTATATACCTGACCAAAGTGCCACAGCATGTCAGTCAGAGCATTATAGAAGGCAGAAGCAGTTGAGGAGTCCATCTGTTTTACCTCATCAAAAAGAGACAGAGCTTTAATCCATACATCTTCTTCACAACGCCCCATTAGTAGTCCATGTGCCACTCCATAAACATGGTTATCAAACACACGCAGCTCCTCCAACAACAATGATGCTTCTTCATATGAACTACAATGGCTGCACCAAAAACAAAAAACTTACCATATATTTGCAATTGCCCAGAGCAGGGACTGCACAAATAGAAGGACAAAGTAACATAAATAGGACTACAACATAACACATTTTTTAAGAAGACATCATTAGTTTCATCCAGTGAAAATAGAACTCATTTACTCTTATAAAAAATATCAACTATTAATTTTCTAGGACTGAACGAGTCTTATTTTTGGAGAATACAAGAATAGTCGTATTTAATTCCGCCATGAGATCATTTTTTATATCATGACTGTCCCCAGCCAGGATAAAGGAGGGGGATGTTGTGGTAGGCGTGTAACGGCCAATAGTATCACTCAATCATATCACATGACATGAATTGACATATGAATATCGCTACAAGAATAGTCCTATTTAAACACATAACTCATGTTTTACTCGTATTTGCAATAGTTCCTTCAATAATAATACCTGCAAGCGTTCAAGATTGCTGAAAAGGTGACAACATTCGGTTTTATGTCTAATTCATGCATCTTATGGAATATACCCAACACACAAAACAAGTCCTGTCTGTAGGAGTTCCTATTCCTTACTTTGAGCGCTTTCCCATTAGCTAACTGCTTGAATATCCTTTCAATGCAGTCTTCCTCATCATCTTCCTCGCTCCTCCTCTTATTTTCTTCACAAACTGTGAATTCATTCCCGGTCGATGAACACTCAATGCTTGATCCCAGACCGAAAGCATTGATTATAGAATTATACGTAACAACGTTTGGTAATATCCCCTCTTTCATCATCTCATCAATCAACAACGAAGCAGACTCCACAAGACCTCTCTTACACAGCGCGTCAATAAGTTTACTATAGAGAACAACATCTGGTTTCAAGTTTCTTTGCTTGAAATCCTTATAAAGTTCCGCCGCCTCTTGATATAAACCTTCTTTGAAATACACGCTAATCAAAATCGAGAATGTGAGAATGTTTGGCGAAAGGTTTTCTTCCTTCATTTTGGCAAAGAACTCCTTGACCTTATCAAACATCCCTTGTTTGCCAAACCCATCCAGAAGGGCATTGTAAGTCACGACGTCTTTTCTTATACCCATTCCCTCCATCTCTGTACTCACATCTAATGCACATTCGAACTGACCTAGGCTTGTGTATATAGCAAGTAAAGTGTTATAAGACACTCTGTCTGCCTTTATACCTTTGTTCTTCATCTCTTTGAATAATTTCAATGCTCTATCAAATTTTCCCGCCTTGGCACACCCGCGGATCATGGTACTATAGGTAACCTCATTTGGAAAGATGCTCTTTGAAGGCATCTCGGACATGATTTCAAGAGCCACTTCAACTTGTCCTACATTGCAAGCAGCGTCTAAGAGTGTATTGTATGTGTAAATGTCTTGTTCAATTCCTCTATAAACCATCTCACCAAACAAGCCCCTAGCGGTTTCCCACAATCCTGCCCCACTGCAAACAGCAAGGAGTGAGTTATAGGTTATCCTATCAGGCTGAACACCATTTCTTAACATTTCGTCGAAAATCTCCAAAGCCCTTTTGAAATCAGCGCCTCCTTTACCACATGCATCGATTAATGTGTTGTAAGTTACTAAATTAGGTCTCAAGCCCGAGTCTTTCATCGACCCGAATACCCTAATGGCCTCATCGCAGTACCCGCTCTTGGCATAAGCACTTATTAGAGCGGAATAAGCATAGACAGTATTGCCATACCCCTCTTTCAGGCCATTTTCAAACACTTTCTCAGCTAAATCGACTTTCCCAAATCTTCCAAGGATACTAATCATCGAGCTGGCTAACTTACCTTGATCGTTGCGCTTTCTTTCCCGGCGAAGAGCAAAATCGAAGCATCTCATTGCCATGGAGCATTGGCCGCGGTTCCCAAGCTCTCGGAGCAGGAATGTGTAATCTTCGGTGCCGGACATCTTGGGCTCGAATGACAGCAACATTCTGTCAAAAGCACATTCATCGCCGGCGCATCGAAGCGCCTCCTCCAGAACTTCATCGGCGACGGCGGTGTGGCGGCTGGCAGAGCCAGTAGCTCTGGGTCGACCGAAATGCATTTTGGAGACGAAACGGGTGGAGCGGCGGCCGGAGAAATCGGCGCTTAGCTCCTGTGAAGAGAAGGAAGGGAAAGGGGCGGCGGTGGCGGGTGCAGCAGAGGCGCCGGCGTGTCTTGGGTGGGGAGGCCGGCTCAAAGAGACTTTGTGAGAGGTGGTCCATTGGGGGTGGTGGTGGTTGGCGTGGCGGCGATTGGGTTGAAGGTGATGGTTGTTTTGATAGGGTTTAGAGGTGGTGAGAGTACAGTGGGGTGGGGGAGTAGAAGAGGCCATTGGAGAGCAATAAAGTTGGGTACTTGTTTAGGATGAGGCAGAAGAAGATAGAGAAGGAAAGGTTGAGGAAGTTTGCATCTTTCTCCGCAGCAGCCTAGTGGAGCACTCGATTGGTCAGCTCATCAGTAGTTTTACCTGAAGAGCAGTACTACTACCAATCACAGATTGCGGAGTGCTTATAACGTGCAACCGGTATACGGTGAGCACCGTATACCGGTACGGGTTTTTTTTCCTTTTTTTTTTAAAAAAAATGGTAATAACTTTTTTATTTTTGATCCGATTTTTATAAAATTTATATCAACATTTTTTATTTTTCATGATCTTTCACATTAGACCAATATTGCCTATGTAATTTTAACATATTAACATTTGCGTGTAAAATATGTAACTTTACGTGTTAAAATATGTAACTCACGTTCAGTCAGACCAAATGCAACTCATGTGTATAAATATGTATCTCTACGTGTAACAATATGTAACTTTACGTAAAAAAATATGTAACTCGCGTTCAGACAGGTCAAATGCAACTCGTGTGTATAAATATGTAACTCGCGTGTATAAATATGTAACTTTACGTGTAAAAATATGTAACTTTACGTGTAAATATATGTAAGTCGCGTTCAATCATGTCAAATGCAACTCGTGTTTATATATATGTAACCCGCTTTTAAAACGATGTAACTTGCTTATAAAAAGATGTAACTTGCTTATAAAAAGATGTAACTTGCTTATAAAAAGATGTAACTCGCTCATAAAAAGATGTAACTCAATGTATTATCAAATGTAACTGAAGCCACTAATCCACTCCCAAACAGATTCGATCTTCTATTTCATAAACCTATCATCTCCCAAACAGATTCGATTTTCCTTATAATCCAATACTCAATAATATAATAGTTCGATAATTTATTAAAATTACATAAGCAATATTGGTCTCATTTGAAAGATCATGAAAAATAAAAAATGTTGATATAAATTTTATAAAAATCGGATCAAAAATAAAAACGTTATTATCAATTTTTAACAACAAAGCAAAAAAAAAAGTCAAGTTGCGTCGTTTTGCAACCGTGCGCGCCGGTTGCACCGTATAATCTGCGTGACTGCAGATTGCGTAGCCACATCTGACTTTCAAACATCAATATAGAATATGATGATTAGAAAATGAACAAAACTACTATTATAAATAAATTTAATTATAGAATAAATGGAACATGATTAGTATTTTTGCATAATTTAGAAATCTCGACAAACTTACGTATAATGTTAAATAAAAAAATATTTACCAAAATAAGGTTTGGTTAAAAGTATTTATCAAAATACTGCTCCCCTCAATCCCAGTTAAGAGAGCCACGAATCAGGAAGAGAACATTAGACATGGCCCACCAAAAATGTTTTTTGGGAAATACTTTTAACCAAACCTTATTTTGGTAAATATTTTTTATTTAACATTATATTAGGAAAAAACTCATAATATTAAGATAAATGAATTCTATATTCTTAATTTGTTCTTGAAGGGGGTTTTGTGCTTGATTAATTATAACAAAGAAGGAATATGATGCATTTTTTAAATCACAGAGAGTTAATTCGTTGAATTTTTATATCACAAAGGGGATTTAGTGCATTAAATTCGTTCTTTTTTAGTTGTGCATTCACTCTTTTATGTTTGCCAATAAACAATTTTGAGCATCATTATATTCAGTTCTCTAATAATAAATAAACTTTATAAACTAGATTATGAAACATTGTAATAAGATGAATTCAACAATATTTTTGAAAATAATAATTTACATACATTAATGAATAAAATGTAGTCAAAGTATAATATATGAATAGTGAATAAATTTCAATGTTGCAATTAATACGATATAGAGTATAGTATGTGGTATGAGAGATAGACAAATAAAAGAATATATTCATGACATTTTTCTCCCTTCTTTCCATGATCTTATGAGTTTTTGATAAGTTTTTTTAATAAAGTCAACCACAATATCTTTATCTAGACATTATGAAGAAAAATTTATCAAAAGCATATATGACTATTCATTAAGGAGAAATATTCTACTTATTAATTTTAATTTTTTATATTTATTTCTCTTATGTCACATTACCGTTCACGCTTTTATATTAGAGAAGGTCTAAGGGTTTAATAGGGAAAAAAGTGTTTAGAATTCATGTGATAGTATTGAACCTTTAATAGCTTAAATTTATTGATGTTCATGAAATTTTGGGAAGCGGCTGAATGAGATAATATTAATAAAATTCCGGATGAAGTACCTAGTTGGTTAAATCTATTGAATTATAAAAAATGTTTAAAATATATTTTATTAATAAAATAAACAAGAAATTATGTGAAGTGTGAAAATAGTTGAAATGATCATCTACGGTATCTTCAATTAATTCATCCATAAAAGTAATTTTAATCTTACTTATTTTGATTGTTACATAATTTAGTAGATGAATTCAAATGTTAAGTGTTAAAAGGTTAGTTGATATGACAGAAGCTGAAACTAGATGTTACCATACAGACTCTTAGGATGTTTTTATTTAGACTTATTTCATTTGCAGACCAAATTATACCAAACTTCTACAGTTGTAAAATACATAGACATCTGACATCTACCAGACCAGATCAGATTTAAACAGATCAGATCAGAAGTTTTCCATCTAAGAAAAATAATCCTTAATATACAGGGTAAGCAAATTATCATTTTAATTAAATCTAGTATATTACCTGTGTATACGCACAGGGAGATAAATCTGCATATATAATTGTAAAAAGTTTTTGTTTATTTTCAAGTAAATAGAGTGAAATGAATTTTTATGTAATATTAGTATCCTAACCCGTGCGTTGCAGTACATTTTCATATTGCAAATAAATTAAATAGTACAAGTGATTTAAAAATTAAAACATCCGTACCGTACAATCAAGTGCACATCTAGATTTTTTAAAAGTTTTAAAATCACTTTTATATTTGAGGCGGATACGTGTATCACTTTTATTTAGACTTGAAAGAGACTTGAAAAGGAGGTTCATGTATATTAACAAAAAAATTAAGGAGCCCTATATGACTTTCATATGTCGCCACTACACCATTCATTTATTTAGTTGGGTCCTCCACTAAATAAATGAATGGTGATAGTGGTGCCACAATGCTAGAAACTTATTTAGTTGGGTCCTCCATACCATATCAGTTTATCTGGTATGAAACTTAGGTCGATTGGGGATGTTTTATATGAAGAACAGCTTATACCAAAGTATTTTAAGCTCAAACTCTTTCGACCTCAAGTTATTTGTTGGAAAAAGCCAAAAATTAAATGGAAGTTAAACGTTGATGCTAGTTACTTATCTAATAAGGCTTTCGGAGGTGCAATCTTAAGGGACCAAACTGGTGCGATGGTCAGCGCTATCAGCTTTCCCGTTCACGCACACTCCGCCATTGAAGCGGAATTGAATGCTTTCTTTCTGGCTGTGAGCTGGGTGACAGATGAAGGTTACAAGGACATTCAAGTGGAATCTGATTCGGCAATGGCGTTGGAGTATTTGGCTGGTAAGGTTACGCGCAGATGGAGATTCCCAATTTTGGAAGTTGTACAGCTCTCGATCAGGAAACATCTTATCTTCGACCATGTTTTGAGGGAAGGGAATTGGGTTTCTCATTTCTTAGCTACGGCCCAAAGTGATTTTGTGCGTAAATTTAGAATCCCAAATCAATTGCCCAATTTAGCTAGGAGAGCTTATTGGATGGAATATTTTGGTATTCCATCTTTGACGTTTTAATTTTTTGATGTATTCCATTGGGTCAGGTCAGGCCCCCAATGGTATAATTTGAGTTCTTAATTTTGTTTCTTGTATTTTTTGGAGGAATGCCTCTTTGAGAGAGTTTTGGTTTGACCCCTTCTCTGCTGTATTTCTTTCTAATTAATAAAACACGACAAATGTTACCCAGCATTTGCCCTACTGATTTTGGTGCTTTGCCTTCCGGGTTAAAAAAAAGTGGTGCCACAATGCTCCATATGACTCCATAAGGGAGTCATATGAGGTTCCTACTCTGGATTTGACCCGCCTTTTTAGTTTAAATTATGATATTGGTTCATGAAAGTTCTCAACCACAGACATTAGCTTATTCCACATAAGAGTTTTGTCCACCATTGAATGTTTTTCATGCAGTGGTGGCAAGATGAAAGTTAACTAGAAAGAATGTGCTTAGTTTCGTCACGGATAAATTGATGCCCTTAATGTACATACATCTTCAAGAGAGAGCTATCATATGTTCAGATTATATAGAGTGAATAATCAATTGCGGTCTATAAAAAGTGTTTCTACAATACTACAATAGTACCTAGTAAACCACACCTATCCATGATAAGAATTTCAAGAAAGATGATGAGCTGAATGGAGGCAGTATACTAAGGGTACCCAATGAGTACGATCTTTTGGAGTTTTGGGTGTGTTTTTCTCCCTTCCTAGACAAATGCCTCCTTATGTTTTTCAATGTTATCCACGCACTTTTGCGGTTAAGAAAGCACCCATACGAACCTTTTCATTCCTAGCCTCCAATAGAATATTTCTTGAACCCCTTGTTCATCAACATTTGATACTGTTGGTCCAAAATAGGACACTCGTAGGCTTTTAGGAAAGATACGTAAGAACATTCAAGCAGGAATTAGGAAAGTACAAATTTGGAAAGTTGCAAAGGGATTTAATTGCCAGAAATAGCGTATAGAATTTGTCTCCCCTAATCTGAATTACAACCCGCCTTTTATAGGCGTATACAAATCGTAACTGTTACCGATAATAATGACTAATTAATTACAACATTAATACAGAATTAAATACATAATTAATAGTGCATTAATTTCTTGACCGTTACTCTTCCGGGCTGGGAGGTCGGGCGGACTGGCAGGCTCCCCGCTGGGTTGGCAGGCAGGCTCCAGGTTGTGGACTTGGATCCACGAGTCCAAGTTCGGGGCTTGGGTTGATTAGGTTCTGGGCCTAGTGCCATTACTCCATCACGAGTCCCCCACTCCCTTAGTCGAGTAGTAGACTCGGCTAAGAGGGAGTAGTCCAAGTCAATTGCTCTTCTCCGAGACTAGAAGATCCCCGCCCTTGTTCGTGTTGGGGAGATGTCTCGTTAAAAACCTTCATTAG